AGAGCCTTCCTGCCCTCCAGCAGATTGACATGAAGCATGGTATTAAGTGACTTTGTCATGTACAAAGACTATTATCACTGTAACAGCACTGAACTGAAGGCTGTACCAATACAGAGAAGTGAGTGGGACAGTACTAAGCTGTGAGAGCTGTGTTTTTGTTTTTGCTATCAGTTATGCAGTGCAGAGCCTCTAGCAGACAGTGTAGGACTTTTCTGATAAGATTTTCAGTTTTATGACATCTCTGCTTCTGCACTTTACAGGGTTTCCTTCCAACAAAGCACGGTGATGTATCTCCCTCTACAGGACCTGAAAATCCTTGCTCCCTGCAAGATGCTGTACAGAGCAAAAGCAACAAACCACTGTGCAGTGCAAGCAGACCAAACACATACAGCCAATATGTACATCAAGTCTGGCATTTGACAAGTTAGAACACAAACTGCAGCAGTATCGTTATTATCTCAGCTTAAGCACCCAATACAAAATAAAAAGGTGTCACAGTATCTCATTTACAAGCTCTGATCTCCAGAAAATATTAAACCCTTACAGCACAAAAAAGAGTGTCACATTACAGTAAGTGACACACTTGAAAGCATAACCTTGTTAAGCGTATTGTACTTGCAAAAATAGGGAACATTCAAAATTACACAGGATTCAGAACAACAATATGGGAAAAAAGAAGGAGAATACATACTACAAGAAGGTATGTCACACAGTTCCATGCGTATGTTTTTATTCTTTGTAAAACACCAGGGCCCATCCATCTGACCTCCAGGATTTCGGCAATATGCATGACCTCCACCTAGCTCTGGAAACTGTGCGCTTGTCAGTTCATGGTTGTGAGGACTCTGGGAGTCCCAGAGTTGGCAAGTGTGGCCGGACTTGGTAACACTGACTGTCCCTCTGTAGTCTGCTCCGGAACCATTGTAGCACTGATGGTCTGCAATACAGGGTTTGACAAAATGTTGCAAATAACAAAACAATCAAGGGCCAGTAAGTACTAAAGGGTGGATGTGTAGAGACCATGCACACAAAAAAGTACTACGATTTAGGTTGTTCAGGAATTAAATGAAATCGTGGGGTTTGTAATTTCAGTTCTGTGGGTATCTGTACTGTTACACCCAGTTATTTCTGGATTCTGCCCCGGACTGTCTCAGCTCTATGGCTATACACACCAGTTGATACTAAGGAGCATGTATGGATCTTTAGATACATGACAAGGTAAATTAAACTAAATTAGAGCTTTAAGTTTCACTCCAGGAAAAGTCTTCAGCTGCAAACAGCGTAAACTTCCCATCACTTTTATTTCTCATCATGTTCCCATCCTCCTCACACTGCTCACTTCCTAGAGAAATTAGTGGTGCATTTTCTAACACCTCTTGCCAAGTTTCCCTCCTCTTGTTCTTTACAAAGAAGGGATTTGGAGATTCTTGTCTTTTGATATATCGTTCTCAGATCTGCTGAACTCCTTACTCTCTGTATTTTTGCTGATATCCTCTATTCGTGTTTTCTGAGTACTTGTTTCCCACATGTATTAACTGAACCAAATCATGCGCTTTTCTGCATGTTTGCAACATTACCTTTTCCATTTTTCTGAGTTCCCCTCCCCAGCCCTCAGGACTTCACCTCTCTCCAAGTTCTTCTTCCAATCCCCCAAGGTACTCTCTGCCACAGCTCTTACACTGGAGGGAGCATTGCTGGCTCCAAGGATCACAGACAAGCTTTGCCAGCTTCTGGTGGCTCTACTCGCATTCCTTTTGCTTAATACCCCTTCCTTGGCTGACATGTCTTTGTCATTGTTTTCTGTTATGTCTGCTTCTCAGCTACACTAGATTATTATCTTACTAGATCACAGCTAGTCACACATGCCCACTGTTATGCCATGACCCCTGCTTCTAATTGTGAGTTCAGACAACGGATGTTCAGTATAATCTCATCACACTTTGAACTTTAAACATCTTTAGTCTCTTGGAGGTTCCTTGTTGAACATTGCAGGGGTGGTGATTAATTGCTAGGAAACGGAGTAGGTGGAAGAACTGTCAGCACACATAATTACTGGCAAGCGAATGGCCCTTCTACTCCTGGATGCAAACAGGAATTCATGGAAATGATATTAAGGTTTTCACCCATGCTGTGTGGGTGAAGAAAGACAACTACACTCCATGCTTGATTTAAAGGATTAATATTCTCATGGATTCCCTTATAGGGAAAGTGAACATTAAATATTTAATTTCTAAACAGATTTTTCCAGTGAAGTTTCCACAGCCTATTTAGGTTTATTGATAGGTAAAAAACCTCACAAATAGCTCTATGGGGAGCGCGCACCCAGTAAAGCAAGGACTGAGCCAGAGGTGGGACTGGCATGTGGAAAGGGAAGCCTGCAACACACTGCTGCTCCTCGCAAATCTGAGTCAAACTGGTTATGTGACTACAGTTTTATAGCCCAGCATGGTTGACATAATCCTTTTCAGTACTAAGCAGCATTCTTTCAACTTCCTTGCCATTCTGACTATAACTGTGCAGACTTATGGTCAGTATTATCATGATAAAAAGTAGTATTGTCCAGTATAGTAGTACTTTCTTTACAAGAATGACTGATAAAATATTGCCTTTCAGATGCAACCTGGAGAAGCAAGAAACCTACTTCTTCCCAATGATGAAACACCCAGACTTACATCGGCTGAGTCTCTCCACAGGGATCCCAATCCTTATGCAGTTGGCAGCTTCCAAGGTGTCAGGCCGTGGCAGATCCTCACACTTGGGCAACTGTAGCTGCATCAAGATCAGGGGGTTTGAACGAGCGATGTTGTATTCCTGTCTACAGAGATCATTCTCCAGAACTTCACACTCATCCCGGCACAGCTCCCGCGGCTTAGGGGTCCGAGACCGCTCGTCACACAGGGGAAACACAAAGTGGCAGAAGGACGGTATAGCGAACTGTGAGCACTGATCAGACAAATGCGTTGAAGTGCCAATCATGGTAAATGCAGCTGGAAGGGAAAAGAAAAACTGCTTAAGTATCACATCACAAAAGGCACGAAAAATAATGTAATTTTCATGTCATTTGCCTTTTACAACTTTCTTGTTTTCTTGAAGATCTGAAAGTCTACTGAGCAGCAGGGAAATGAGGTCATTTCTGCCGTAAAGCCAAGCTGACAAACGCAGAAAGCAAAACTTACATCCCACTATCCCTCTGATGTCTGTACAGAGCTTGTGGGACCCCTGTCCTTAGTAAGGTACCCAAGTCACTAGCACTGAGCAAACTGTTGGCACTTGACTAACTTTAGCTTGAAAGAATAAGGAGCGAAGGCAAGATGCATCTGCCAGGAGGCTGATATGTCTCTCCAAAGCTCTTAATTATGTAAAATCTATATGAGGATCATCTTGTTTCTTCCTCCTGAAGACATTTTGATCAATTAGTAAGACAGGTGTTTTTCAAGACTTGACAGGCAAAAGGAAGCATATACCATCGGTATTTGGGGAGATACAGCTATTAACAGACATGAGAAATCTAGCAGGCAGCAGTTTTGGGAAAAATTAAGATGAATGTCATAATGAGTGAGGAGCTTAATCCTACCCTTCAGCTCTCAGCATCTACATACCAACATTTGTCTGAGAGTTTTCTCACACACTGCAGAGAAAAGACAAATGTGCATCATCGATCTGGCCATGAATCAAGCTTTAAATGTATGAACTCTCACTCCCACACTAAAAAGCATCATTTGTGAGCAAGGCTTGCTAGGCCATGCATTCCATTAATGCATACTGCAAAAAAGAGAGGAAATGAGCAGTTTAAGTCATTCAGCAGTCTATTTACAACCTACAAATCAATTCCTTCCCTCTTGTCCAGCTCTCTCTTTTCAGCCATCTATTTCTTGATGCCACCCGCTATCAGAGTCTCCTGCCTCTTCCTAAACACCACACATGCAGTATGTTTACACCTTTGCCTACTTTAATATGAGAACATCATCACAGGAATGTAAGTGTTTATCAGTCATGGAGGGAACTCTGCGTGCAAGCATGAAATCGAGCCTCAAATGACAGGAGTCACATGTGTTTATCCCGAAGACTAACAGGGAAAAAGAAAACCTGGAGGACTGAAGTGGTCACTGTTGGTTATTTGAACCACAACACTCATTTTCGTGAATGCGTTACAGAATTTAGATCAGCATGAGTGAAGAGCGCACAATTTACAGCCTTATTTTGCTGAGAGGCAAAAAAGCCAGCAGGACTCTGTGGTGGCATCTAAGGGGTTTATTCTTTTTTTAGATATTAAACAGCATAGCAAAGACATTGCTAGCCACATATTTCCACAGGCCAGGAGTCAGGTCCATGCACTCTTTATTTTTTGCCTTTCAGTCTTTCAACTTGCAGCTCAAGTCTTCCTCCAGAAGCCTCCTTCCTTTTTTAATAGAAGGCAGAAATCCTCACCTAACCACATGGCCAGGACCAAACAGCACCAAGGGCCACAGAAACAAAGGGAGTGTATTTCACACATTAGCACAGGAGGGAAATGAAAATCCGCAATGAGGGCTCCCCATTGACGTCTCCTGTAACTTCATTAGCTGTTCTTGGCATCGGGCAGTAGGTGTCACCATTTCCCACGCACAGCCTGCTCCAGAGGCCCTACGGTTCTAAGCAAAAAACTGCCCTTAGGAATACGGGCAAAACTATAAGCAAAATCTCAGCAACAGTTACACAGCAGATTTTCTCTCTTCTTTTGTTTTTTTGAGCCTAATAAGTTACAACATTTCAAAACTACCCTGTCGTTTGTACAGAGAATACCCAGTATTACGATACTTGTTTTACATACATGACGACTTGTAAGAACCAAGTATGCTGTAAAATCCTTATGGTTATTTTGCATAAGGCATTTGGTCTCCCCTTCAGGTCTATAATCAGCGGTATTAGGGAACCAGCAGCCAGGTTATGAGTCTTCATGTTGTATATTCCAGAAACAAGTATAACTTGATCAATAAACACTTTCTGGAAGATACCACATTTTTTTGTTTTAATGTCTTTTTCCTTTTTATAAAAAAGTTTGTTATGAACCTACTTTACAGAGTTACAGATTTAATTACTTCAGACAGCTGAACATTTCCATATTTCTGAAAAACATCCAGACAGCACAGAGACTATGTCGTAGGGAAGAAACTGTATCAATAGCATGTATTAATTAATGATGTAATGGTAAAAAAGGCTGGAATTACAGCAGAAAGGAGGGAGGGGAATGATTCCTAAAGGTACAAGGAAAGGTCAGCACCTGGATTTGCCAGTCCCAGAACCTGATCAAGAACACACAAACAAATCCCACCTGACCTGGATTTCTGGTTTGACAATGAGCCTTAAAGGAGATAGAGTTGGCAAGTGAAGTCAAACTCTTTTCAGCAAATAAATACGTTAAAATTGCAGATTCAGTTAGTTAACTATATCTGGCCAGATGCAAATAAGCTCCTGCTGGATTGAGTTAATTTGCCATATATATTATGATTAACAGTTCGCTATATTCCACAGACTCATTTGCTTGCTCTACTTGTGAACACCAGTGTCACAGCTGCTAATGTCAGCTAACCAAGGTCCAGCAAAGAAAGTCTGTGTTGATATACAGCCCATTAAAAGTCATTAAGGCTTTGGATGCATGTTTGTAACTCTGTACCAAAACGATGATCAGAGAAAGAATTAACAGAAGCAGAGCACAGGAAGGTCAACTTTTGTTTTATATAAATCAATGTGAAATACAGATTCTTCCAGAATTATGCAACAGGGGAGGAACCCCACATTAAAAGTCACCATACATTATTGAAGAAAGTAAAAACCTAATAATTTTTCATCATATCACGAATTACTTTAGAAAAAAACCCCAACCAACAACTTCTATTTCAATCCATTATGCAAAAACCTCCAATATAAACTACAAGCTGTTAAAAAGTCAATACTCTGACATTTTACTTAAGGACATGGAAGACATTTCTACACATGATAGCAGCTATTCAACTTCCTAGCTCCAAATTCTGCTAACTGCACAAGTGGGAAACTGGCTTACCTCCTCTAAACCTTAACAGAAGTATGTCACAGTCATTGGCAATAAAACTGAAAAGGATGACAGCACTATTTATACCGGAATTGTACACTTTTACAAATGGTTTTTGCTCTAATACAGAGATGTATAAGCTTACCCGTAATTCGGTTTTCAATTTCCCCTTGCATTTGGAGGGAGTCCACATAAATGGTCCTGTTTCCAATAATTCGTGCACACGCAATTCCCCTGTATGGCTGACAGAATCCGTCTTCATGGTAATCTTCTCTGAAAAAGACAGGTTAGGATTTTAAAAGTAGATGTCTATCTGTCCCCACTGAATTTTTATAAACTATATTATCATTAGTATACTCTATTCCCATAAGACTGAAAATCTGAAATAGTTCTATTCCCCAGGTGCAACATTCTCCTCCAATCGTCTCTGTGCTACCTTAGAAGTATTAACGAGGCACCCTGTAAATAGCTCATTAGAGAAAGAAGTAAACCCAAGATTAATTTAAAAATCATATGTTAATAATAATGAGATTTTACAGATAAATCTATTTAAAAGCCTTTAGTCTGAGTCAGCAACATATATCTCGTTACATGTCTCCATGGATTTTTGGCATCTAGCTGCATCCAGCACAATGAGGCTAAGAGTTGGTTCCCTTCTACCACCTCTCCCTTTCTTCATTTCCTTTAGCGAGCAGCAGAAGGGATCTTTCCAACCTTTAATTAAAACATGGCATAATTTTGAACTCTGAATTAAGTAAACAGAATAAAAAGCAATCAAGGTTTTAACCTCTTTCCTCTCTAATGAGAGTCAGTACTAAATTCCTCTTCCAACATATATTCTAACACATTTTGTAATTTAATGGGGATTTGGGCCAAATTTTACTCCCTTAAATCAGCACAAATATTTTGACATAAAAGCATTAGCATAAAGGCCCAGTGATTCAACACATCATCCCCAAAGACGCAGTAAACACTACGGACCTAATCTGAGGGTCATAAATGTCTGAGCCCTGAAAAGTGACTTCAGAGTGGGACCACTCTCAGCATGCTGTCTGTTTGTTTACTCTGGCATGGCACAACCTCTGTGCTAGGATTCACTAGACTGATGGATTTACATCATGTCATTCACTGCATGATGGACCAAAAAAGGTATACAACATAATCTAGAAAAACATTACTCCAGAGTAGTCCTAGGACACCCAAAACCTTAATTGGCTTTTGTAAAAAAAAAAAACCAAAAAAACATCAAACCAGTTCAAAAAGCTGAGGTACCTCATCAACACCAGTGATTTTTGAAGTATTGCTTCAATACACCCTTGTGCTTTGTACTTTATTATCTTTCCATATCAATATCCATTTTGGTCACCCATGTTTCTACCTGTCCTGCAAATACCTTCACCCTTCCTCAGGGTGCCACAGAGTAGTGAATATGTGTAAAACCACATAACTCCAGCTGGGCTCAATCAGCACAAAACCCTGCTGCCTGACAAAAGCTGGCCATGATGAGCACATCACCCAACACCCACGCAGTGCTGAAGGCAGGCTGTTACTCCTAGTATCTTATTCTGTCTCAGGAATCTCTTTTAATTTTTCCTCTGTAGTGTCTCCCTGACAATGCTCATCTCTCCAGGGAAATGTTACCACTATTTCTTAAAGTATAAACTCTTCAGATATGGAAAGGTGGATGGGACTGTCCGTGCAGTGTGCCTAAAAGCTGGAACCGTTGAGCAGCAGCTCTCCCTTTCCTCCCAAAGGGACAGAGACTTCATAGAATCATAGAATCCTAGAATGGCCTAGGCTGGAAGGGACCTTAGAGATCATCTAGTCCAACCTCCCTGTCATGGGCAGGGACGCCTCTCAACTAGATCATGATACTCAAGGCTCCATCTGACTTGGCCTTGAACACCTCCAGGGAGGGGGCAGCCACAACGTCTCTGGGCAATTTATTCCAAAGTCTTGCCGCCCTGGTACTGAAGAATTTCTTCCTAAGGTCCAATCTAAATCTATTCTCCTTCAACTTAAACCCACTTCCCCTTGTTCTATCAGTGGACACTCTTGTAAAAAGTCCCTCCCCAGCCTTCCTGTAGGTTCCCTTCAGGTATTGGAAGGCAGCTATTAGGTCCCCCCAAAGTCTTCTCTTTTTCAAGACTCAACAATCCCAGCTCCCGCAGCCTGTCCTCATAGCAGAGGTGCTCCAGCCCCTAGATCATCCTTGTGGCCCTCCTCTGAACACGCTCCAAGAGATCCACATCCCTCTTATGGTGGCGACACTAAAACTGGACGCAGTATTCAAGGTAGGGTCTCACAAGAGCAGAGTATAGGGGGAGAATCACCTCTGCTGACCTAAAAGGACTCAATCCACCACACAACTGCTAGGTAAACCATCGTCATATGAAGTGTTTCATGCAGTTGTTATCTAGATCTGGCCTTTATTTCCTACCACAGTATGACCGTTAAATATTCAAACAAGAATGTTCCTACGCGGTAGGAACATTCTGCTTCCACAAAGATATGTAAGGTTTTGCTTATGGTGAATGAAGTAAAGGAGGAGTCTTTCAGTATCAATTAATTCCTGCAGTGTAATTATTTCATAACAAAACCTCCAATTTTGCAACAGTTGCATCATGCCTCAAGGGATAAAAATGTCAAAGCATTCTGTCTGTGCCTCTTTTATGACCCTTGAACACCTCAGTAGGAAGTCAGCTATTCCCACAAGGACCTGAATGAATACGAAACCTCTACTTAACCTCTTTCTCACAAGTAAATTCATACCCTATCCTGCAGAATAAAGTCTGCAATGTATATAACTGAAACTGTACCTCACACTTCAACTTTCAGTGCAGGGCTCTCTTAGTAACACCAAAAACGAAAAGAAAAAAAAAAGAGAGAGAGGGAGGAAAAAAATCTCTACAAAATAGCACTCTGAACAGCATGGGTTTGGTGACAAAAACAGTGTGATCTCTTACTCAACTCAGTTTATTTATTTCTGTCAAGAACTTCTAAATACATCCTAGGTACTATATATACACACATAGGCTCCCCTCTTCCATGTTATAGTCAACTGCTGATTAAACTAAACTGGATATGACCATTACCATGGACGCAAGCAAAAGTAAACAGTAACCTGATGTCAGATACTCTGAGAGAAGCTGGGCAGTTATTCCACATGCATCTTTGTCAGGTCAAGAAACTCAGTGAGTACAGTTTGACCAGTAGTAGTGATCTAGGGGACAAAATTACATTAGTCTTCTTAGGAAAACTGTTGACTTCAACAAAGCTGCCGAAGCGGCAGCACTTAGGAGTCTCCTTACCGACTAGCCTTCCCTGAAGCTACACGTATACTCAGCACATGCAAAACATCCACAGCAAAAGGCACCTGGGGGAAACGTGATAAACCAGAGTGGAAGCAGCACCACGCTCAGTTCAAACAGGAGCCTTTGGAACCACGTGAGGCTTGGAATCATGCTCCAAATCATATGCTAGCAATTCAGTTGCTGATCAGAGTAAGAGTTAAAAGCTGCTGAAAATAGGCAGAAATACTGAATCTTCAATTTCCTGCTGCTTGAACTGTAAAGTCTGCTCTAATCAAGAACCCTGGTAGAAGCAGAAATCTGACTCTCCAAGTGGAACCCAGAAGAGTTCAATTTGTTCCACTTGCAGAAATCTTACAAGCTAACCATCATAGGTACTTTTTTACCTTTGTCCTTAATTATTTATTTCTGAATGTTTCAAGATATTAGTAACTTTTCACACTAGTGATTTTCTTCCATTTTTGTGTAACTGGGCTTTTTTCTTGTCTTTTTGTTGCTTGTTGTTTTTTTCTACAAAACAGTCAGGAACATCCCAAGTATTGACTTTGTTTTTTCACCTTTGCTAGAGGGCAGTCTCAAAGACAGTGCACCTGGAACATGAATTTTCTCAGCATTCAATTAGAGTGGAGGAAAGATATACTCTCCTACTGAGAGAACTCTCCTCCAAACTACTTGTCAGATGTTTGAGTAGAGTTTGGATTTAAAATTAAAATTATAAAGAATCTGACTAAACAGACTCTCTATTCCTAAAACTCCACCTTCCTTTTCTTAGGGTGAATGCCATTATTTTTCCTGGCCCATAAGGTGATCTTCTGTCAGAACAATAAATCTGAGATCCAGCCTTTCTAATATAAAGCTAAAGAAGGAGAACCTTTTCTTGGGGGATACACATAAATAAAACCAAAACACTGATACTACTTTCATGTACAATATAAGGTGTCTTTAAAGATTGACCAGGCTCACCAGGTCTGGAAACATCCTGGAGAACCAAGTACTGATAAGAATTTACGAGTTCCTTATCACATATACACTGAACTGCCTGGTTAAACACAGTCTGCCTTGAGGTTTGTGGGCAGAAGCAGTTGTATGAAATGGAGAATTAACCAATGAAGCAATGTAGATGCCGGTTCAGTAATACTGATAGAAATCTTCAGCTAACAGAAATCGTAACTTCCGGGGACATCTGGGTCTGTAAAAGAAACACTGGAAGAACCTGGTGCCTCTGAGTAGGAATAAAGCCCCTCATGCAGGAATGGGAATCTATCCTAATGGAGTTCATGCAAGAATTCCGTAAGGTAGACACCTGCTCTGTAAGTACCTGGGGAGATTCTAGGTGTACTGCAAAAACACACTGAACATCACTACCCCCACCTTCACATTAAGGCTTATTTTAATTCACATGTGACACAGAAATAACACCGAGCAAAAGACTACAAACGAAAATACCTGGGAAACAAAGAGGCTTTTTCAGTAGTAAATGTGAAATGCTGAAGAATACATCTGGGCACAATGCAATACATGATACCTATGTAACACAATCTGTTATATGCAACTGTCACAACTGAACAGTCCAGAGGGCATATGAAAAAAAAAGTCCCTAGTAAATAATGGGCCACCATGGAAACGCTATTCAATACTAAAATCACCTTGTGAAGCACGTAAGTCTGATTAGAGCTTTCAGTATCTGCTTGGTGCCCTTAAAACACAGTGAGTGCCGACCTAGTGGTTTTGCTGAAAAATATAGAAAACACATGAAGGCATAACAATCTTTAGCAAGGGTTTACAAAGAGAATTCTGAAAGCAGAGTTGAGAGGTATTTATTTGCTAGTAGGGTATCTTTTTCTGATTGTATCCTACAAACTTAACTTACAAAGACAACAGAAACTTCTGAGTAAAATCTAATTTCCTGAGAATAGAAGAGACACTCCCAAAAAGACACTCAGCAGTCCTCCAGAAAACCTA